AGTCCGGTTCCCCAAGGGGAGTCGGGAACCCCGGGCTGCCAGACTGGAGAGCCTGCCTGTGCCGTGGTGCAGTGGGGACAGGGACCCGGGGGGGTGTCCCAAAGCCCCAAGGTGCATGAGTGGGTCCTGGGCACTCACAGCAGCAGGTAGATGAGGATGATGGTGTTGAGGGGGCTCAGCTGTGCCGTGGTCCGGGCCCATAGTGTGGTGTGGGGTCCCCCTGCCAGGATGAGGCAGTGGTGTCAGTGCCGGGGCTGCTGAGAGCCCCAGCCCGGCCCCTGCGGTCGGCTGTGCCAAGAGCCAGCCCTGGGGTCAAGTCCCAGCAGCATCCCCCTCCCCAGGACCCCCAACACACCCCAGAAGCTGCGTGGCTTTGCCAAGGGCACCCGCTCACCGCTGCTCAGAGCTGGCACGGCCGCTGCCACCTCTTCATCCTCCTCCTCCGCTTGCCTTGGCATCAGGCTCGGCCCATCTGTGTGCAACCAGGAGACATTCGATGAGTGCCCCAGGACCAGGGAGGGGAGTGGGAGGTGTCCTGGGAACCCAGAGGGGCACACTGGGCCACAGGGAACTGATCCTGCGCTCCCCGGTGCTGCGGGAGATGCTGTTGTTTATGTGGTCAAGGGCTGCGCGGTCCCTCCTGGACCGTGCATGGCTGGGGACAGGGAGCAGAGCCGAGAGCTGTCAGCAGGCAGAAACATGGGTGAGGACACGTGCGCTTGCACAAGCAGGGCTGTGAGTGTGTGAAGGGGACGTGGGCTGCGGGGTGGCCACTTACCCGGCACTTCCTGGAGGCTGTCGGGCTCCGGGGTGCTCTGCTCCAGGTCCGACTGGCTCGACGTCTGAAAGAGGACAAACCCCAGTCATGGTGCACATCCCCGAGGCACCTGTCCCCACAACCATGGGGACACGAGTGCGACATGATGGGACTCGTGCCAGGCCCGAGGAGGGAGCTTTGCAGGTGCTGAGGTCTGCACCGCCCCAGGCTGGGGCTTTTCAACTCTATGTTCCCCCCCCAAAAAAAGCCTTCCCAGGGGGCAGGCACCCACGAAGCGTGGGCTGCCGCCACCACATCCGAGCCTGTCACAGCCCAAGGCGCAGGGGCCATGTCTCCCTCGGCCGAAATTACAGAATGGTTTAGGTGGTTTAGGTTGGAAGGGACCTTAAACATCAAGTTCCAACTGCCCCACCATGGGCAGGGACACAGGGAAATCCTCCTGCTGACCCTTTCCCAGCCTTACCCGAGGCTTCCGAAGGATTTCCTTGGTGTTCGGAGAGTCCGGTGGGCTCCAGCCATTGTCCTGGACAAGGGGAGATGAAGGGGGGTGCCGGGGGCTGCCAGCCACCCCCAATGGTCCTGCAACGCTAGGGACAGAGCCCCCCACCTGCCTGGCCCCCTGTCCAGCACCGCGCGTACCTGCAGGTGTTTGCAGACCGACTTCAGGAGCTGGTACGTGGCCTCCCGCTGGCGCAGTGACACAAAGAGGAACTGCCGGGAAGCAGGAAAAGGGTTTTTGCCCTCGGTCACAGCCCAGAGCCCGCCGGCCACAGGGACCAGGACACCCCAGATTGGGCTGAGCCACCCCCAGCATCGTCCCCATCCTCCACTCTCTCACCTTCTCACCATCGGCCGTGCGGATGCTGAGCGCGTTGGGCACCAGAAGTGCTGTGTTGGTCTTCTTGAGGACCGAGATGGAGGTGACGGGGACCACTGCCTGTGCCGGGGGGACCAGGAAGTGTCACTGTGTCCCTGACTGCTGCCCATGTACCCCGCCAGAGCCACCGGCCCCATGCCCATCCCCAGCCCACCTTGATGTCCTTGAGCAGGAGGCTGGAGTGGAAGCAGACGTGGCGGGAGGAGATGTAGAGTCGGCCGTGGTAGGGCACCTCTCTCTGCCAGGCGCAGGAGAAGCAGGCCAGCAGCTCTTCCTGCTCGGCGAGCTCCCCAAAGGCTTTGCGGTAGCCGGTGGCACGCTTGCTCAGCTGCGGGGGGGAGCCGGGGCTTGAGGCCA